AAGAGACCAAATAAGGGATACAACTTCCAATTAACGTAATTACCCCATCTGTTGTTCTCGACAACGTTGTTGTATTGAAGCGCTCGTTTTTCAAATCCGTGATTTACTCCGCGAGTCACTCTTTCCAGTGTGTTTCTAGCAACTACCCTTATCCTAGCAAGGTCTGCGTCATTTGCTACAGTTCTGACCGGTTCTTTTAAAACTTCTCCGTCACCGACATCGGGAATCCATCCCGAAACTGAATCGTAGTTTTTGGGATATAGAACCGTTTTCAACATTGTGTCAAACTCGCCGGGGTGTTTTATGGTCTCTATCGGATTTGAACCAGCTTCCAAAACCATTTCGCTGAATAAAGACGGAAAGAAGTTGTTTTCTAAAGTCGTGTTGGTTTGTGGAATTCGATTCTGAGTGGCGTCTTTGATTTTGAAATCGCATCGGAAATGGGCATCGGAAAGCAGCAACCAATTGGACAACGAATTAATTTCAAAGGTAACTCTTCCTCCGTCGTTTATTTGGGTCTTTGTCCCTACCGATGGTGAGATGATTACGTAATCCTCTTTCTTCTTGTTGAACGAATATTGAATCGGATCATACAATTGAAAGATTGGATCCAATCTGTAATTTTTGCTTGCCATTTTTATCCAATGATTTTAAACCCTTTTCCTTGTTTTTCTAGGGCTTGTCGGTTTAGTCTCTTGTTTCTTAGTTCTCTTATTAGCTGCAGTTCTTTAAGTTCGTCAGATTTTTTCACTGCATCGCTAATATTTACTCCTGCTTTTGCCACAGATCCAAGAGCTTGCGCTTCTGAGGAAATGAGCGATTTGTTGTTTGAGACAAAATTGGCCACTTTGGGGATGAGAGATGTTAGCGCAGAGAAGAAACCGTCTCCTTCGAATTTTTTTTGTTCGTGTTTTAAAATTAAAGACATTTTTAATGCGGTTATTTTATACTGTATTATTTTTAGTGATTCTTGTCTGTGGTTTGGGTAATTTATAATACAGTTTGGGGTGGGAGTGTGTTATAATACATTTTTAACAGTTTGGGGAGTCTGTTATAATACATTTTTAACAGTTTCGAGAGTCTGTTATAATACATTTTAACAGTTGTGTCTTTTTGGATATGACGCATTGAAAAAGCTGCGCATGCGCAGAAGTGAAATGCGTCATATCCGAAAAGACATATACTACTACTTTCATACCATTCTTCTTCAATCATTTCTTTATCGTATTGATATAAATAATACCAACCCTTTAAAGATAAAGAAGGAGCCGTTAGTTTATTGGAAATATTCTGAAATACAACTTCTTTCATTGCTTGATTGTATTTTATCAAACAAGCTCCGAGACATAACGTATCTCTTTTAGTGTAAGGTTCCCATTCGTGTCTTAAAGGTTCCCAATTATCTTTGGTGTATTTTGCAATGTCTACATCCTCGATCTTTCTCAAATTCATTGGTAGATTAGATGAATTTCCCCATGCTGCCAAACTAGATGATTCATGTTGATAGGAACATATGAAATTAATTTTTTGCAAATAATTAGAGTTACCCTTTATTTCTTTCTGTCTTTTCCATTTTTTCTGTAAATCTTCATCGGTGAATGAATTAGTTAAAGGTAGAGACAGAATTCCTCTAGCTGTTTTTAAAGGGCATTGTGTTAGTTTTTTTACGTTTTTGATCATGATCAAGTTATCAAAACCGCTAGCGTTATGAGCAATTAATGTTATTCTTGTTTGATCTATTTTCCTATACGTTGTAACAATTGATCTATGCAATCTGTACCTACATATATTTCTATTATATTAGTCATAAGTTTTTTCTAAAATTCTTCTGGAATGGGATCTGTCGGCTTTAAATCTGGAAAGAGATTATTTATTCTGTTTAACATTTTTCTTAGTTTTTCTAAATTAATTAACGTGCAAGAATAAGGTATGGCTTTATTTTCGTTATAGGTTTTGCAATCCCACGCGTATAAACAATCATCGGGAATGGTTGGAAAAACATTTAGTTTTAGAGGTGAAACTTGCGTTACCGCATTATCATCTTTACAAGTTCTTCATACGTTTTCATCGTAATTATCTTCTATTTCTTTAATACCTAAGGTTTTGTTATTTCTTCTAATGAGACAGAAATGTTCTTTGTGTAAATAAAAAACCCAATCTAATTCTTCGGATACTTTCTTTGGTTGAAAATGTCTATGTTTGGGCATATAAATTTGAAAATAAATATTAAATTTCTTATTGAATTCACTGATTCTAGCAGTTGTAATAACTCCTTTTCTGTTTGATTTTGAAAACTGTTGATGAAATCTTGAAAATCTCTCGTGTAGTCTTCGTTTAAAACACGATTAACGCACTTTACAAAGCAGTATCCATCGCTCGGTATATAACAATTTATACCGATATATTCATTTATCTTTTTGAGTAGGGTAACACCACTACCCTTTTTTGATCTTTTTATTTCTTTGAATTTGTTTTTACGGAAAATTATATTTCCTGTGAAATACCAATCAGAAGCATCCGATTTTATATCCACTGTTGCGAAGAAATTGCGAAACGTTTTGGCATTAAAACCTACAAATTGCATGCCTTGTTTATATCCTCCATCTTGAGTTATCTCTCCATTTATTTCAATTTGACCTTTAAATGTTATAAATTCATCAGAGATAAGGTTAATAACATCGGAAAAAAGTTTATTTGATATGAATTTTTCATCGTCTAAAATTTCAATTTTATTCATATTTTTAAAGCAACTATTTTTAACTAGGAATTTTTAACTTTTATTGATGATATTTCTACATCAAATTTATCTAAAATTTCATTGAATTTTTCTAATTCTTCAACTGTTATGTTCTTGTCTTCACTCGATCTTTCGAAAAAAATGAATAATTTAATAAGATATGTATTTAGAATTTCTGTTTTCCTTTTATAATGAGCTTTCTGTTTTGATGTAAAACCTAAAGTAATCAAACCACAAGATGGCTAATACAGTTGGGACAATTATTGGAAGCATTAATCCACCGGTTACGGCTGTTGCCACCGTTATCCCTACTGTTAAAACTGTACTTATTGTTTTGAAAACAGAATCGATTCTACTCCATGTTTTTCTGCATTTGTTGAATTGTTTTAGTTTTTCTTTTAGTTCGTTTTGTTTTTCTATCATATATTGTTGTCTACTTTCGAGTTCCATTTTTTAGGTAATTAAATTAAGTGAATTTCAGATAAACCAAAAGATGGAAAGTGTTTAAGATCTACAATAGGTTTCCCAATAAGTTGTGCATTCTTTATTTTTTCATTATCTGTTATAATTATTTCAGGTTTAATAATAAAAACTTTTACAGTTACTAAGGATATTTGTTCTTTCGAATCATTAATCTTATTTAGATGAACTGAAAATTTTGGTTTTTTGATATTGATTCTTATCCAACATCTACAGGTATATACCTCCAACTTCTGTTCCATCATTACGTTCAATTATTGATGAAAATATTATAAATTTTTTATCTTGTTGACTTTTAAATAAATCAGTTGAAGAGGTATATTCGTGTGAAAAACTTTTATTAACAAAATATAGTTTTACGTATTCAAAGTCTGTTGCTCGTAAAAACTGATAACTGCTTTTATCTTCTTTTTGTGGTTCTGGATTTCTAATAATATTCATTGATGGTGGAGTTTCCGTCTCCAATACCATATCGAATTCACTCAATGAAAAATAATCATCATCTTTATCTGGTATGATTAACATTCTAAACCTATCTATATATTTTCCACTCGTTTTAATTTCATATAAGTGATTAACCTTGTTGTTTTCGTCGTTAATTTCATATTCTTTAATTTCTACATTGTCTCTACCATTGATAAACTGAAGAACTTTTTGAGCGTTAAATTGATTAGAAGAATGTGATCCTTGTTTGAAGAATATTGAATCAACTTTTACCTGGATAGGAAAATTAATTTCAATTACAATTTTTCCTCGGAAAGGATAATATGATCCAAAGATTTGTAGGGGGGGACATAACCTTCAACAGAAAATACTCTTATATTTACTGAAAATCCATATTTTTTATATTTATGTATTACTGATCTATCAATATTATTAGTAATAGATTCATTTGTATCAGTAAAATTTGCAAATGGAAGATTGAAATAATATGATTCTTTCTTGAGAAACTTTTTTTCTAATGCGACTATTTTTTGTCCTGTTTCAAAACTAGGTTATTAATAGTGGTTATCTGTTGTTGAATAACACTATCATCAATGTTCTGTATTTGTTGATGAATATAGGTTTTTATTTCGCTATCATCTATGTTTTGTATTTGTTGTTGAATATAGGTTTTGATTTCGCTATCATCTATGTTTTGTATTTGTTGTTTAATATTTGTTAGTTCTTTTTGTAATTCACTGTTAAGTTTAGTTTCCAGAGCATTTAATTCCTGTTGAAACGTATATGGAATGTTATCTATTAATTGTTGAATGTCTAATTTTTGTTTTGCAATCTTATTCTCTAATTTAGATATTAATGAAATTAAATTTTGTAACTCAGTTTTATTCGCTACGTTGACCAATTCTTTTTGAATAAAACTTTTTAATCTTTTTACCTCTTGTTGTAGTTTAGTATCATTAACAAAATTTTTATTATTTAGTTGACGTTTGAAGAATCTTTTCACATGACTTATTTTATCTTCTAAATGGTTTTTATTTACTTCAATTGAATTTATTTGATCCCGTAAATATTTCTTGTGAACAGCGTCATTATCGTTTTCCGGAGACTTTAAATTAGTTATGCTAAAATTGTTCATATCTAAATCACCTTGAAGAGTGTCTCCGATTTGATCCACAAAGTAAGGTTTCGCTTTATTTATCCACGCTGTAGTGTTAAGTTTTTTAGTTTCTAAAGATAAAGAACCTAATCCAAACTTGTTTGCCATTTTTATTGAGTTAAATTTATTACAATTTCTTCGAATTGTTTTCCTAAACTCAACTGATATAAAACCCAAAGTGAAAGCTGACCCAAAACTTTTGTCCCGGTAATTGAATTTGAAATGTTGAACATTTGATTGGTTTATTAGTCAATTGGATTATCTCTTCAGTGGGTTCTAATCCATAAGAATCGAAGAAATAAAAGTCAGAGTCTTTGTACAAAGCAGAATGATGAACTCCTTTTTGATCGGAAGTGTGTATATTTGTTATAGCTTAAAATTTACCTTTCTTATATTTCAGATCATTTATTTCATCTCTCATACAATAATAAAACGGTGATATATTTAACTCATTCGCCCATCTCATAAGTTGAAAGTTTGTGGTTGTATCGGTTCCATATTTATCGAGAAATTCATTTATTTTTAAAAATCGGTTTTTTGAAGTTCATTTTGATAAAACCTTCCTATGATTTGTTCTTTGTCTTGATCGATCAATTCATACGTGGGAGGTGATGTGCTGTTTACTTTATCAACGATGAATATTTCGTTCGTCCAGTATCCAACATAACCTTTTTCGAATTTGCTTTTATATTTGAAAATACGAACTCAATCTCCGACTTTAAATTTGGGTTTGATATTTAAATTCTTTATTTCATTTTCGTAGTTATGTTGCGCGTTAATTGACTTTATAATATTTGGATTACTCGAGGCTTGTGTTGGTGTGACACCTATAGATGAATGAATTTTGTTATTGTATTCATCTGCAATCTCTGGTAATATTTTAAGCCATTTTTGAGATTTCAATTCCGTGAACTTTTTGAATAATTTATTTTTTAGAGTCCTGTTAAATCTTTCTATTACTACAGCTTTACCTTCGTTATGCGTGCTGTAAATTTCAAATCCTAGAGATTTCATATTTTTGTTATAAAATTCACTTCCTTTATCTACCCACAGTTTTTCTGGATGACGGTTAGATTGTTTCATAATCGTTTCAAATGCGTGTTTGACTGATAATCCCGTTTTGTTTTTCAAAGGAATAACCCAAGCATATCTCGTATACAAATCTATAACTGTTAAGCAATATCTAAACCCTCTTTCGACTGGCATATGAAGTAAATATTTCATCTTTTTCAAACACTTTTACTTTTAAAAAGTTTTTAGTTTTTCTAAATTCTTTGTGAATTTCATCCGCTAATCCCATGCCTAATTTCATCTTTGCTTTCAAGAGTTTTATGATTAATGCCCTTAGCATTCTCTCTTTGAAAGTTGGATTTGGAATATTTTCAAGTTCGATTATCATTTGTCTGTCTGCTTCGTGTCTGAAGTTTATGTCTTTATTTCTGTATAAAATATCGTGTTTAAGAGCAGCGGCGTCAACTCTATTGACTGGTTCTTCCCCTGGTTTGGGTTTATCGTTTTCGTCTAATCGCAGATCTAACCTAGTACCTAAACAATAAACAGCTGACATGTGTGTAAGTATCAGTGTGTTGGCGAATTTGAAATTTGACGAGGTGAGTAGGGGCCACAAAATTTTAGGGGAGGGGGGAATTACATCAATTGCCTGCAGGCCCGTAGACAGACTCGGTTGTTTGAAGGGGCAGAAATGGGATTGGTCGGTTGTTAGATTTTTTTTTAGGAAGGGGGGGGGAGATCCATTTTTTTTGTTAGGAATTGCTAATCTGTAACCCACATCCACCTGTAGTTTCGGGCCAGATTGCATATACTTGTCATTTTGTGAAGAGAATATATACGGTAGTGGTAGATTTAATATGTTTGACTAACTATATTATATTATATTTTAATCTACAGGTCAGGGATGTTCACCAAAATTAATAGAATGTACGGCCAACTGGAATACATCTATTCAGGCAGCCAAAACTTTAGATACACAATGCACGTAAGTAGTCTTCAAAGTTCAAACGTTTCAGAAACCTTTTTAATTTCTTAATGTCACCATCGGTTTTTCGGTTTTTTCGAGCCTCCACCCAAATTACAATAAACATCAAAAATATCAGAATTAAAATTTTTTTAAAAAGATTTTAATAAGATTTGGGCTCCTCCTTTTTTACCCAATTTTCTCAGTGGAAAAGCCACCATGGGACTTTGCCATGACGTTCAGTGGTCGATAATATTTACTGGTATTATTACAGAGCTGATAAAGGTTATGAAGATTGTTTACATGACTCTGAAGTATTTTGTACATCTCAAGAAAAGACAAATGTAGAGACTTTGTTGAAACTAATTGCACCAAAAATAACCGAACACTGTGGAGGAGGTAAGATTTTCATATCAGACATTGGTCAATAGTTAGTCAATAAAAATTTCTTAAGTTATGACCATTGATGTCCGATTAATTTCTGGGTGAGAATATAATTCCTTACATTAAATTGTAAGAGAACCGGATGTCGCATTTTGATTCTGAAAAGTAATAGGGATAGCTTAAATGAAGACTGCATCCTTTGTAATTATAATCTGAGGGTCAAAATTAGGCCAGGTTCTCCGCCGTAGTACAAGTACAGTGATTTCGGCTAATACTTACGCTTTATTTTTCAGTTGGTGATGTAAAACCATGGTCATTCATGACTTTACTGGTTGCCGGTTCACTTTTAGTCAAGAGATTTATTTAAAGATATTAACTACTATATATACTTACTGGACAATTTCCACACATTTCAGTATTTATCGACATATAAGCCATCAGCCTCCGTAATTAAAAAAATAATACTACGAATTTCTAATAATAATAAGTCTATTTTAGAGCGCCTTTCCATTCTGTAGAAGAATGCTCGAAGCGCTTGTGTGCTCTTTGAAAGATTGTCTATTTGTAGCGATTAAACAACCATGTCTTTACTCGAGATTTGAAAGTGGCAAGAGATGGAGATAGTTTAATTGTCTCTGGTAATCTGTTCCATAAAGAAGCTGCTGTAAAGCTGAAGGACCTTGCTCCAACAGTTCGAAGATTAAACACTGGTATATTTAGAAGATGTTTAGTTGAAGAGCGTAGGGAACGAGTTGGTGCATAATTTGACAGTAGATCCTGTAGGTATGCTGGAGATGATTTATGAATGGTTTGATAGGTTATAGACAAAATTTTGAAATCAATTCTTTCTTTTATTCGCAACCAATGTAGAGAGTTAAGAACTGGAGATATGTGGCAATGTTGAGGTACTTGAAGAACAGTCCGCGCAGCACGATTCTGTATTTTTTGAAGTTTATGTAATTGTTCAGATGGAATTCCTGTCAGTAAGCTATTGTAGTAATCCATTCTTGACAACACAAGGGATCTCATGAGGACAGCTGTAGCATCTTTTGTCAAGTACGGTCTGATATAGCCTATATTTCGAAGATGGAGATGATTAGATTTGATTAGATGGTTGATATGCTTTGACATGTTGAGGTTTGAGTCAATAAACACACCCAGATTCTTTACAACAGATGTAAAACATATATCTGATTGACCTACTGCGTAGATGCATTTCTGTCGTAGATGCATTTCTAGATCTATACCTTGGCACCCATGAATTTTGATCATGACATTTTGTCGGAAATGGAACCCGGAATTTAAGGCTCTTAAAAGAAAGGATTATATAATGTCATTTTGTCATGAATTTTTTTTTTTTTTTTTTTATTATTCATATTTTACTTCATACATACAATATATTTACATTTATACACTATTATGTTTCCTGAAGTATACGTATTGTCATGAATTTCGTTGGACTGAACCGTTCGGGAGAAAATATATTTGGACCAAATTTCAAATTAGATTCGATTAAATGGTTTAAATTCAACGATTTTTAAAATTAGATTAACAACTTTGTCAGTTTTCTTTTATTTTGAATGAAATTTGAAAGACGGAGAAGAAATGAAAGATTTCAGAGTTACAGTTTCATCAATCAAACAATCAAGTTTCTCGTCCACTTTCGACCTTTCGACTTCAGTAGACATATTGACGTTTAATAACAATTGAATGAAATATGTGGAAATTGTATATATATTGTATAAACTTTGTAACATAACAATACCCTATACATAATAAAGAAGCTTTTGGTTGATGAATAAACACATTTTTTTGAAAATATTAAGTCGACGTTTAAAAATGACCTTCATTATTATCATGGACCCCAATGTGTCACCATGTCGACTCACGTTTAATTCATAGGATTCCTTCAATGTTGATGTCGAATAACTTTTGATTTCATCAACGTTGGTTTTGAGTAACATGTGAGTCCATCAAAAAGAATATGTCGAATAACATATGATTCCTTCAATGTTTATGTCGAATAACATTTGATTCCTTCAACGTCGATGTCGAATAACATTTGATTCCTTCGACGTTAATGTCGGATAACATTTGATTCCTTCAACGATAATGACGAATAGTATTTGAAATCTTAAAACTTGTTGTAGAATAAGGTCTAATTCCTTCAACGCTGAGATGTCGAATTACATTTGAATCATTCAACGTTGATGTCGACTAAAGATCCATTATTATGATTCTGTGGTGTCGAATGCAATAAATTTTTAACGATATTTTTGTATTTATATTTATTTAAATTATGAAAGACAATAAATTATTAATAAGGCAATAATTGTTAAAAAGAGACGATTGAAGTTTGGAAAACATTTTGTCACATGACATGCCATCGATGTTACTGAGCTGATCTCGAATGACGTTCAACAGAGCCGATCGGGATTTTATTTGAGATTTAAAACATGTGTGTTTGCTTTCCATTTGAATCACTTCATTGTACCATGTTAACTGTGGTGAAAGAGTAACCGGAAGTGGAATTTATATTACCTGTTTTCATCTAAAGCGGTTTCAGTTTCAGTGGTGATATGATGTTATCTGAGAATTTCCTGAGAATTAGAGATCGATAACCAAAGCTGTACTAGTATAATAAGTCAACAATGCATAGTAGTCAGATTTTGCTGTTGTGAAATTGGGTTTGTTCTATCAACACCCTTTCCTGATGGTTCATACCTAGTAATACGTACTCGTTTTTACGACCATCTTAGAGCATTTGAGTCTTTGTACAACAACAGAATTCGTGATAAAATAAGATATTACAAGTAAAACACAGTTTAAATAACAAAAAGGCCAGGCCAGGTCAGGCACAATACAATGTTAAGGCTAAACTAGGATCACCGTGCTAACTATTACTAACACTAAGCTTAATAATGTAACAGTGTTGGTTCTTGAACCATTATCTTCAAGGTGCTCTGAAATCAAACTATATTGTCACTAACTTGGGCTAAAAAAGGGGAAAAATAAGTCAGCCCAATCACAAAATCAATGGCATGGGCATGGCATGAATAGAGGACATTCTCATATCGGGGGACACCTGCTACCATTCTGCGACTTGTGATGTCCACCGAGCATCTATTTCAAAGTCTTTTAACAAATTCATAAGGAATTTGAAAAAACTTTGACACCAAAAGGTATCTGTAGGTAGCCGTTTAAGATATATTCATTGTTGTTTTGTTCAGTGACGCTTTTAGAAAACGGGGCCGGGCAGTTGTTTTGATGTGACATCACTACAAACTTACAATGTACGAGAATTCTCACTGTTTAAATAGTTCTCAATTTAGAAAGATATTTATTTGTATGATACATGATACTTACTTGTTGACGAAAATTGTGTTGTTCGGACTGAAAATTAATAATTAATACAGAGTAAATCGGTCTATAAGTCAAGATTTTAGGTACGCACGACATTCAATAAAAATTTCCCTATAGTGAGATATTAAACATTAGGAATTAAACATTTTTGTCAAATTATCTCAGTCAGTAAAGTGAAGTTGATAACCTACCATTGATAGTTGGTAAAAGTGACGTTTCTGATTTGGCTGAAAAGAATGAAAACTTGTTGAAACCTGGCTTAATTTTTCTATATCAGCCAGAATTTCAACACATGCAAATGTAAATGTAAAACCTCCGTTATCTCATTCAAACGTCGAGACAAAAGGTAACAGAAAAGGGAGTATCTGCAACTCATGACACGTGATATGGTTAACAAGTCAGATCCTTACAATATATGGTTATATAATGGTCATATGCCATGGCACCAAATGTTGAGGTTTACTGCCAAGCCGCCCTGTACCACCTTCACAGCGGTCAATGTATTACGAACTTCGTCTTATACCTTGACTACAATAGCCACTGTTCTTCTATCACGGAGTGCAGTGATTTGATCGGATTGTACGCTATGTACGCTAGCCAATAAACGTCTTGAACGTCTGTAAGTAATAAGCTATTCTGTTTAACGATCATTTCTCAACTGCTTTTTTAAACATGAATGGTCAGCTCAAAGCATTTCGTACGCCAACAAGAAACTGCATAATCACAGATTCTGATCGCTCAAGTGGTCGAAAAGATCCAAGCATGAGCCTATGGTGGCAACTGAGATTTAGTTGTAGTTTGTTCGCTCAACTCAACTTAATACGGCAATAGATCAGACGCTACACTATTACTTACAATGACAGTATTTGTTCTGTTGTTCTGTTTGTTGTTGTAATATTTGGAGAATGAAGTTTCTATCTGTACATCCTGTCATTGGTATACTTGATATACAATTTACTAAATTTGTATAAACGCTGTAATGAAATGAAACAAATGTAAAAATCATTATGAAATAAGAATTAAAAGTCGACATTATCTTCAGCGTCAATCATCATTACAGAAATGTCAACAGCAAAATAAACATTATCACAATCATCATCATATTTTTAAAATCAACGTGTAATTCTTGAGATTCATTATCATCATCATAATCATGATACATGATGTATGAATTCAATGAAGTCGAATCTCTTACGTGCATAAATCAAGTCCTTTCTTCCTTTTTTTATCAGCTTCTGTTGCACAAATTTCTGCTCTGGTATGACAGTCAATGGCTGAAATTATAAATGATATACCAAATTAATTGTGTTCAATATTAGAAACCCGAATTACCTTTCAAAACGTAAACAAAACATGAATTGCATTTTTCTGGATTTTCTAATCTAATTGGAAAAATAGTAGGCCTCAATCAATCTGAAAATTTGAGAATGATTTTAAGAGAAAACTCGTTTCAACTTACCTTTTGTAGTGGTCGGCAGGGAATCTGAAATTGAATGTAATAGATTGGATAACAGGTGTTTGCGATATTGATTTCGTAATTATATAAAAATGTCTACCTTTTTTTTATCTTCAGAGAACCCTCTAAGACGCTCTATGAGAGGCTTGCGACTATGATATCACCACAGATTAGCCAAAATTTGAATTCAGCCTCAGTAGTTGTCCCTTCCCTACATTGAGTCAGTCTGCCCCCTTCCAGTCTCGGAAGGCTCACGCCGCCACTGAATTAGAGAAATAAATGTGTCCATACGCTAACAGAGAAGAAGAATTCTATCAACGTCTATTAATCATTAGCGTACAATTCATTTCCCTTATCATCTTTATCAATACGGTTTTTGGAAGAGGTTGTAAAGTTTCGAGCATAGTCTTCAAAAATAAATTCCCATACTTATAAAATACTTACAATGACAGTATTTGTTCTGTTGTTCTGTTTGTTGTTGTAATATTTGGAGAATGAAGTTTCTATCTGTACATCCTGTCATTGGTATACTTGTTAGACAATTTACAAAATTTGTATAAACACTGTAAAAAATCCCTAAATATATTCTTATTTAGTCATCATCATCATCAATAAAAACAGATTTTTATGAAGTCGACATCATCATGATAACACAAATAATGAACATATTTTCTAAATAAGTAAGAATAGTCACAAACATTATCACAATCATTATTAAAATAAACATGTAATTTTTGAGATTCATTATCATCATCATAATCATAATGAAATCATCATAAATGATGCATAAATTCAAAGAAGTCGACTCTCTTACGTGCATAAATCAAGACCTTTCTTGCTGTCTTTATCGGCTTCTGTTGCACAAATTTCTGCTCTGGTATGACAGTCAAGGGCTGAAATAATAAATGATAAACCTTTCAGAACGTAAACAAAACATGAATTGTATTTATCTGGATTTTCTGAAGTCATTGGTGAAACAAGAAGACGTACAATCAATCTGTAAATTTGGGATCAATCCTGCCTATCGCTTAAGTATGATTTTGTAGAGAAAATTCGTTCCAACTTACCTTTTGTAGTGGTCGGCAAGGAATCTGAAATTGAATAAAAAAAAGATTGTATAATGGTATTTGCAATATTGACGTCGAAATTATTTGGTATTGAGGGGACCTTAGCCGTAGAGTGAGATATCTTGAATAGTACAGAATTAAAGAAATAAATGTGTCAGAGAAGAAAAATTCTATCAAAGCCCATTAATCATTAGCGTACAATTCGCTTCCCTCATCATCTTTATCATTATGGGAGACGCTCCTAGGTTGTTAAAACGTCTTGAACGTCTGTAAATAATAAGCTATTCTGTTTAACGATCATTTCTCAACTGCTATTTTAAACATGAATGGTCAGCTCAAAGCATTTCGTACGCCAACAAGAAACTGCATAATCACAGATTCTGATCGCGAGCCTAAGGTGGCAACTGAGATTTTTCGTAGTTTGTTCGCTCAACTCAACTTAATACGGCAATAGATCAGATTCTATCAGACGCTACACTATTACTTACAATGACAATATTTGTTCTGTTGTTCTGTTTGTTGTTGTAATATTTGAAGAATGAAGTTTCTATCTGTACATCCTGTCATTGGTATACTTGATATACAATTTACTAGTTTTGTATAAACACTGAAAAATTAATACTCGAATTAAGTCATCATTATAGCCATCATCATTCGATTTCGTGACTTCGACATAAACCTCCGTCTCATCACCATCATCATATTCATTGTCATCATCATATTCATTGTCATCATCATATTCATTGTCATCATCATCTTCATAAGACCAATTTGTCATCATGTCAATCAAATGAGCATGAGTTTCGTGAAGTACCCAGAATCATCATTATCAAAATTTTATACCATCACTACCATCATCATCATTATAGTCATCGCCATCATCCATATGATCACAATTACTATAATATCAAATAATAAAGAACTTCCTTTGGCGATAAATCAGCTGTTTACATGGACATAATTTGTAAAAGGCGATGCAAAATCTTACGTGCATAAATCAAGTCCTTTCTTCCTGTTTTTATCAGCTTCTGTTGAACAAATTTCTGCTCTAGTATGACAGCCAATAGCTGAAATTATTTTTATAAAAAAACAAAACGTTTGTGTATCCGAAGTAACACTTCAAAAATTGAATTTTATCCAAGTGCAAATATTTATTAATGACTATATTTAAATACTTTTTGAAGGTTTCGATTTCAAGTTCATATATGTGTGATCTTAGATGCAGCATGATGAAGATCTAAGGCGCGGACACCTGATATACTTTGCAAAGGTATAACTACACATTAAATTGTCACAAAGAGAATACCTTAGTAATAAAGTGCAATTACTAACCATCTGTAGTTGTCGATAAGGAATCTGAAATTAAGAATTATAAAAACATTGATTCTTTCGTATAATTATTCACAATATAATTCACTTTTATGTCTCTCTGAACTTGAACTTTGAAATGAGAATAACTCTTTTGAGTGACGATAGTCTAACTACAGAATCTCTAATGAAGACCATAGCAGAAACTTGAGTTCTTCTAGCATTTATCTATGTTATTATTATGTAGCTAATATAGGATTAACATATTAATCATAATAAGATCCTTACAAAATTTCTAAAACCTTTATGCAAACACATTTTATGTGCGAATGTAATCCGACCTAATTTTAGCAATCCTCTTTCTCCCTCACTTTTTGAGTGTTTTGAATGTCTATTTTTGTCTAATTTTTAGTCTAGATTTGGAATTGATGTCTGAAATGGCAATTTCTGTCAGACACTATGAGATGATGAGAGATTTTCATACGGAAGGATAATTCTAAAAATAGTCGTTTTGTGTGCAGTGACAGTCAAGTGGATGGTGATAAAATGTAGTGGTCTACTTCAGTTGGGCTATGCTCGAGATTTTCATGGTCATGATATATTGAATTTTTTTGCAGAAACTAAGTATTGGTCAGGCTTTCATGTGACATATTGGAAAGCTTTCAATGAAATCTCTCGAAATAAACATTAAATTTTGGGGTACAAGATTCTGTCAGCAATTAGGCATTACATCGTATAGAGTTGGTTCTTTAATTTTGATAATGTGGTATTAGGAGTGTCATATTTAGTAATCTACTAGTAGTCTCAATGATTGGGAGCATAGAATTTATCATTTGACCTAGTATTTGCGAACTTATGATAATATTTATTCTCCTTTTATTAATTTATGAGAATATTAAATATAACATAATATTTATGCTGTTTTAACTATACCATACTAACAATATCTATTTAGGCTTTTGTAACAATATTTATTTTGGTTTTGTGAAAACAAAAATAAAATACTTCAATTTCATTTCAACATAATGTAGTAAAGTTATTGCTTAGTTTACTTACCGGTAGTAGTTGTATAATCTGAAAAAAGAAAAGCCACAATAAATAAACACCTGTTTGCATGTGCTCATATACTAATGAACTAACAACAGTACACCAACTGCACAGCGAAACTAATTATGATCAATTACTGAATCATACCAACAAGGGTACCTAAAGATTGATTGTTCAATGCCCAAAGTGCAATACAAGTTCTTTGCAAACTAAAACCCACATAAAGTATAGAAACGCCAAGGAAGAGGTTTCCGCTATTTAACCCAAAGGATATCAGTGCACAGAGCACGCAAGTGTCATTATGCGATTACCAACAATACGGTTATCGAGTACTCGAAGTACACGAGTACAGTTATGTACCCACAGTACCCAAACCGTACATCCCTTATATCAAGATTGTACGTGAGCAATTTCATTAGAGAAACCCAATGTCATAACTATCACAATACCAGAAAAATAGATGTAGCCTACAAATCTAAACTTATATCTTACTGTTACAGTATATTTCTCTATCCCTATTTTCCTGGTCGAAGAGTGAACCGAGTAAACTTAAATCATTGGGAGTACATTTTGATGCTGGTATTAACGATATACAGTCTATGAAATCATCAATTACTCTGAAATAAATACGAACACTATAAGACAGCTCACAGCTCCTCATCAATGGTGGGAATTCAGTGGCTCAACAACCATAGGTACTGGTTGAACGAAGTTCACGATCCCCATCCCTAAAGGAACCCACGCCCGCGTTGGAGGGGCACCAACACACTCATCTGGTTGAGTCATTGTAGAAAATCCTCATTTCCAAACATTTCAATCATCATATGGTGCCACTTACGTGCAATTGCTCAATCCTTTATCATTTTCTTCTCTTGCTTTGGTTCCGCATGCTTCGATTTGTGGTTGACATGTTTCAGCTGAAAATAATGCCTCATGTACATGACAAATAACGTGAACGAATGGTCGTCTAATAGTCCTAGCTATGATTCAAAAGATATGTGCTTTTCAGGTAGATGATTCAAACGCTGTAGTTTAATTGTAAAACTTGAATGATTTGAATGTTTGTGAACTGTACAACTTGCATCTGTTGTCTATGGCAATATCTAAAACGTTTATTGAAACATTGTCTGATAAACATAATTACACATAATGACACAGATAACTCTATTAAGATTCAGCTTTACTGTGGGAGTTGCCCACTATCCCGATATACAAAATATCAGTATCAGATGATGATTACTTATTGCTCTTCTTGCAAGTTGATGTTTCTACAAGAAATAAGGTCTCATAAATCGATAATAAAGTGTAAAATTATTAAGGTCCTTACTAACCTGTGGCGGCAATTAAACAGGTGGCTGAAAAACAATGAACTGTGTTTAACTTTAAGGTTGCCAATTGTTAGCTAGTAATTTCTTTAAAATACTTTTAAATGTCACCACAAAAACGACAAACCCAACAAAACTGCTATGTATATGTGCTACCGCTATATATGACATCTGTTGTATCATTTTGCCGATGGAATTGGACTTTAATTTGTGACTACTGCTTAGGACTCGTGGTTTTGGTTATTTTTTTCACGAGACAATGGGACATGCATTTACAATTGCTATGGTGTATTAGCTCACCGAAATAGAGTAAATAAAAAAAACGCTGACCTAAAACGATGATTAACCTATCGACATCCATCATGAGACAATAGACAATGATGATAATGCATGACAACATTGTTATCTACATCACATGATATCACATCAAATTTAGTAAAACCATTTATCAGGACTTAATTACTTAGAAATTTGTGCTATTGGGTATATCGATAAGATGATAACTTGATTGTTAAACATTATTACCAGAAACTGTGGGTAAAAATAGGGGGAAGTAGATTATTACAGGTATATAACTTCTGCACAATCACGATAAAAAATTAAAGTGGGTTTCTCGGCAGTGGCTTTTCTATGAATCATTAGGCATGGGGCCGAGCAGGGATCACATAATTATCACAGTAATGCCCAGTCTGACTACAAGAAATCTGATCCTTGTTTACTGAAGACATTCACTTAAGTCAACTGAAGTAAGCAGATTGATCGAACTAGGATACAACAATATTTCAATGATATCTAAGTACATGTATTTATTGAATTCATACACATACCTTCAAAAACTTAATTTGCTTTTTTATGCAAATATTCTTGTGAAAATATATTATAGTGCAATTTGGTACATTGCTGTGTTTAAAAGTGGAGACCACGTTCATTTCAGAGTCGAATAAAGATTCAAAACATCTCATCCGATTGGGCACAGTCGAAATGAGAAATGAGCATACTACTAGCAATTGCGATCAACTGGATGGTCGTAAGTTCTGATTGAGAAAAAGTTAACGCCCGCTTCCAGTAAGTAATGGTACAAATAGAAGGCATACAGACTCAACGTTTTTTTTTTTTAGAATGCGGCATCTTTGTGGAGGTTTCATAGTCGCAAGCCTCTCATTGAGCGTCTGAGAAAGTTCTTCCAAGAAAATTTCCAAAAAAATGAATTGAATTGGTGCATTCTCACACATATTTAGAGGAGAAAACGTATAAAAATCATATTATAAAATTTGCTAGAAATAAGGTGGGGATACAATTGGGGGTACAAATGCCACTATACACCGCCACTGACGCCAGCCTTTTCTTCTTTAGTCTGACCATTTCATCCATACCGTAAATCAAAGCAATGTATTTCAGTTTTTTTACTAGCAGCTTGACGAATGATGGGGATTTGAGATAACTTTACTGGTGGTGATTTCTCAATCATTTTCCTTTTAACACAGAATTGTTAGCTTTAAAGATTCTAATGTTTCTATTCTAAGGTAACTGGTCCCAGACGTCCCCCATTCCCTTTACACACATATATAGACGAATCATGTATTTACACATTATTTCACTATAATAATTCTTAAAATTCATTAACAGCATCCAAGATGCTCCACTGTTTTACTCGTTGTTGAATTTAATGGCATTTCAGAATATTTCATCATCATTGTTTTTAGAAACGAACTATCCCAGTTCACGGCCATGTTACTTCTATATCTCACTATCTCACTATATTGTTAGACTCGTGAATATTAAATCTTTCGATCTATAATGGTAGATGTCATTAATCGGTTTTTATTGTCGATATTAAGTAAAATACACTTCAATCTGTGTCATAACACTACAGTTCCCAGTATCACGAGGAGATAAATATTTAATACTGTCGTATAAAAAGCACTTGTTGCACTATTACATAAATCTTTATTATTACAGCATGATTTTAAAGCACATCCATCAATACCGTAGATTCTTCGTTGTGATAGACAGTAGTTATATTGCTTGTCACTTGTATCTTCACACTTCCCTAGAGAACAGCCTCGTGTCACACTTTCTATTAGAGAAGAAGAATTATCATGCATCTTATAATACACTTTCTGAAAGCATAAAAACATAATCTACTCAAAGTCTTTTTAAAAACGTCATTATTGATTAATTATGTTATTTCTGTAAAATGTTGAAAGTACATCATTCTTTTCTGCTATGTTTAAAGTATAGCAACTATTCTGTTCATTGTGTTCATTGTACAACTGACATTTTTACAGTACACCACCTGCCCCGAGTACAGGAGTTGCTTTGTTGTGCATCAACAGTTGTTGGTTTGACGGGTATGTTAATCTACAATCCAAATAAGAGATAAAGTGATGGAGTTATGTTCAGGACAGTCGTAGCATTTTATATACATCCGATCAAATTCATTTGTATCTCACATAACATTGAAAGGGATTGTTGAGAGGTTTTACAAAGATTTTATGTGTATCGGGGACACTGATAGGTTCAATTTGCACCATTCCAACCATTGCAATTTTCAATCAGTCGTCTGTGGCGCCTGCTATTCCACTAAAACTAAGTGTTTGATGACGTCACTTATCTGATTAAGCATATTTTGCGTTTAGACACGGCATTAAACACTTAGCTTTAGTGAAATTACAGGAATCACAGACGTCTGATCGAAATTGAAATGGAACAAATTAATGCCAGAGGTGTACGCGATACCAATAAAAAAAATCCTTTACAACCCCTTTGAGAGTAAAAAACTATTGCTCGTCAACTACTCTCTCAATACTTCGCGGAATAAGAATAACTTTTTTTGTATAAATAGCTTAAAGGTGGTGTGTGTGTCATCAAAAGCTGTTTGATGAAATACTGCCACCTAGTGTTCAAAAATATTATATGAGTATTCTGGTAGATTTTTTAATTTACCATTAGCCTAATATACAAATCTTCATTTTGATTTTCAATTTGAAAGATAGCTTACCAGGCAAGGTAATATACAGCCACTGGCAGCTTTGATTTTAAATAAAAATATTTGGTAGTACAGTAACAATTACCAGTATGAAATATTCAATCTTCAGTCATACACGCCTTTTGAACATTTGGAACTGAATGATATTATCAAGTTTCATCAAAATCTGTCAAGAATTTGGCCTCCTAGAGTGTTTACAAGCTAAAACTTAAAGTCATACTAAGTATTTTTCGATTCTTCTGATTTTCGATAGGCTTCATCTTTGGTTGATAACAAACACTCATACCAAGTTTGGTCAAATTCCCTCAAGAACAAGGGCAATATCTCATACTAAATATTTTTCAATTTTTCTGATTTTCAATAGGGTTCATCCTTGGGTGATTACTAACACTCGTACTAAGTTTCATCTAAATCAAGAATTGTGCCTTCTAGAGTGTTTTCGAGCGAAAAATTGAACGCGTTTTTAAGAACAAGGGTAATAACTCATACTTAATACTTTCCGATTTTTCTGATTTTCGATAAGGATCATCCTTGGGTAATATCCAACATTTACATCAAGTTTCGTCAAAATCTGTCAATACTTGAACCTTGTAGATTACTAACTAAAATTGAACGCGTTTTCAAGAACAAGGGCAATAACTGATACTAATTATTTTACGATTTTTCTGATTTTTTATAGGGTTCATCCTTGGGTAGCCTAATAACAAACACTACGACCAAGTTTCATCAAAATCCGTCAAGAATTGCGCCTTCTACGATTTTTCTGATTTTCAATAGGGTTCATCTTTGCGTGGTTACAAACAATCACGCCAAGTTTCGTCGAAATCAGTCAAGAATTCTAAATATTTACGAGCAGTAGTGGACGGACTGACGGAAATGGGTGACGGCAATGTTCAGGATAGCTACTTTATGAACCAGTAACACTTACCATACAAGAGGAATTTTGTGGACAAGATATTTTACTAATTCTATAATCATTGATATCCAGTTCAGAACACCATTCGCCTATACATTTCCAGCAAGTTAAACATCTACTTGGTAAAACCATTACTGCAATGGAGTAAAAAAGAATATACACAAGTATCAATTGAAACGAAAGTGAAAATGTCATTTCATCACGAACCACTCAAACATCAATTTTCAAAAAAACTTTCTAAACTGTCAATCCAAACTGCTCTACTGTTTACTTTCTGGAATTGAGCTAGATGTCTTATATGATACTAGGTTGAAAAAAACCCATAGATATCGCTTATTCAAGTGCATTTCTATATGGAATGCTTTAACGATACTTGACATAACGATACAATGTACACTAGAAGAATTTATTTCCTCAGATTGCTTGGCATCATTCAAAATACATTAGAAATTGATAGGAAAAGATCTAGTTGTGAAAATAAACGTGACAGCAGAACGCTGTCGATAATTTATAAATTTTAAAATATAAAACCATAAAAATTCATTAACATTTAAAGATAAAGTGTTGCTTTTTGTCCTTGATCCCTGTTATGCGATACGTATCGCATATAATATGACGAACTTCGTACTTATACCCTCACTGCAATATATTGTATCATGGGAGTTTTTGATTGACTGGATTGTACGCTAGCGAATACAGTCCAGAGGCCTCGACAGAAAGTCTATGATTACAAAATTTAATGTCTTCAGCCTTTCTATCGAGAGCTCTGGTTGGCTGTACAATCCAATCAAATCACAAGAATAGTGAAATATTGCGCTCAGGGTTTTCGTAATAGCGTGGCATTGTGAAGACAGGCAATACCCAGCACTTGTCTCTATTGACATTTTGGTTCTTATGTCAGTGGTTTTGTCCGACATTTTACCTTTTCTATGCCAACCCTTTCAAGTCCGTATCTATGTTTTTAATAATTTACATAATCTTAAATTTATTTATATAATGGTTGTAATAGTATGATTAATAAGGAGTCTAGTCCACAAGGTCAATTTAACACGAAACACATTGAAAACTAATGAAGTAAAATTTTGTTCATGCTGTTTTGAACGACAAGCAGAGGTTTTCAAAGTTCAGTCGGTCGATGCTTAAGTTCTATATTAAATGTATTGATATAGCCATGGCACTTCAGGAAATGGTAGAGAGCTCACTGTAATTAAAGACTACGGATTCCCTCATTACGGTATATTGACAAAATCGGAAGAAATCTCTTATAAAAACCACATTGAAACCATACAATTCTCAGCACCAGCTAGGATCATTCGGTTTCATTTATTTCTTTTACATCGTTAAAGGGGTCGTAAAAGGGATTTTCTTAACCTTATTTATGTGTATCGGAGACACTGCCATTATCAATTTTCTAATTATTAGTCAGACTTCTTTGGTTCATGTTATTTTACTAAAACTATGCGCCAATGTGTCAGTGTGCCCTTTTTATATATTGATCGTCTGTGAGGATATTCTAGCTTCTAGCTATTTTCAAAACAACAACTTTGAGACTTTAAATTTAAGTCTCTTGTCGCCCACATCTATCATTATATCATTAAAATACTTTAAACTTTTAACTTGTTTGTCACCATCTGACAAGAATAATCAGAGATGAGGAATAAACATAGTGTTTATTACTCTTGCGTCCGACACCAGTCCTGTCAACAATCACAATAGGGTCTTATAGCGATAGCTTTTGTGTCTCTAACTATGGTATCTGCCCAAACATTACTATAAGGCATCATAGCTACAGTTTTTACCTCTCAAAAATTACTATCACGCTGTATAACGAGCCGGAATAGTTCAACAATGGTTTTCTCTTATTGGCGATACAGTCATGTCAAAAATAGCTATGAGGCATTCTACTATGGTTTTTGCGTCTCTATCAAATATAACTTTCAAGCCATATAACGAGCTGGATTAGTTTAGTGACAATATGTGACAATAATGTGAAACCAGGTTTTTACTCTGTAGTAAGTCTTAATATCTCTCTATTTGAACCTAATAAGATTATGGAAAATCAGATAATACGATGCTCTCGTGGATAACTTTGCCTGAAGGGCAGTCATTTTTTCATAGTTTAACCTTTGGTGTAAAGGATTACGATGCCCTTCAATGTTATTACAAATAATACAACATTGGTTAGATTCTTGTTTATAGACCAAATCTATTCTGTTTACATTGATAAATGAAGATTTATAGCATATAATCTGCTTTGTTTACATTCAGTTCATTAGCCATTGAATTCGTTTTAAAGAAAAGATTATTGATTTGTCCATGAATTCGGGTTTACAGAATAGACCTGATTTGTTGATATTCATTTGCTAGATTTACAGAAGAAATCAGTTTTGTCTACGTTGCTATAATTCAGATATATAGAAAAGAACTGTTTTGTTTACATGGTCGAGCTACTTTGCTTAAATTCGTTTTGGATAAATTCAGAATCAGATAAACAGAATACCCATCTGTTTTGTTTACACGAATTCATGATTTCAGATTTATTCATATTTATTGAATTGATCTGCTTTGTTTACATTAAGATAAATTCAGGTATATAGAAAATCTATCTGTCTTGTTCAGATTAAGTAGAAGATGAAGTCATACTTAATCTGTTCGGTTTCAAGAGACAATAAACTCAAATTTATATAATTCAGATCTCATTTAGCTGACCTTAACCCTTTCCCTGCATTTCCTTGTATAAAAACCCTTACTTACCTAAAAGAATAAAAAATCCAAGATATTCCATGATCGACTAATAGCCTCTAGCAACTTCATTGTTTGTAAGTTAAAACTAATGTAGTAAAAATGAAGAAGACACTCTTGGTAATAATCCTCACACAAGGTGGTTTTACTATCTAGAAATCTCAGGAAACGGTGATATTGACATCACAGCATGTTTCTTTTGCCATCTAAAATATAACAATAATATAATTATAAAGATCCATACTCAATAAACGTTGGTCTGGCTTGTTTCTGATACATTACTCTACAGGATGTTATTTTTCTTTAGTTTCAATTAAAGAAGTTAATGTCATAGATGCCTACGAACTTATAAAGTCTTGTAGGCGTTAGGGCTTCAAGAGAAGTTTGGCCGAGGACGACTGATTCAGAGCATCTCATCCCATCCGTCGCATTCGAAGTAAGCACGACACGCATATCGAGCTATTGACCGAGAAATAGCAGGTTCCGACCGCTCAAACTTTAAAAAGGGATTGGAAAATTTTCATTATTAAAAACGTCGTAAATATTCCTGAGAATATTTCTAGAATATGCTATTTATTATATATCTACATTTATCTTGTTCTAAAATAGTTAATTAAAAGTACTAATTGTTAATTAAACAGTTAAAACTAGTTTTTTAGATGTGCCTCATAAACTCTCGATATTGTTAGTTGTAATGTTCAGAATATTTAGGATACATTTTCCTGTATTTCTCTACAATTTGAAGTTAGTTATGTTTAAATCCGTGCATTAGTGACTTTTTTAGTTAGAACACATCACTCTTTTTTTTTTGGTCTATAATTTTCATTAATTTGAGCACTCATACTTTTCAACCTGTTAAAATAATTATTAGACTGCCCCTTTAATAGAAATTAGACCACGAGAAACTGGCGGCAACTGTAGTGCGTTGGGGTCGATAAAATCCAGCAATTGATCGGAAAGAAATCCATAACCTTAAGATGTTGAATTTGTATAGACGTAATCACAATTTCTACAAGCTGTATTTTTCAAAAGCTGTCATGTAATATATCTCTTTAGAAATGTTTAATGGTCATTTTACTCTCAAATTTCCCGTGAAAGAAGTAATTTTTGTTCGTATCAATTCTAATGAATGTCATATTTGAAGCGGGACACTTCGACATGCTGTTATCATAATAAGCAGTTTTTCCCTTTTATCATTAATTTCTACTTCCAGCTCTCTGTAATTATGTGCTATGATCTGTCTTGTTTTCCAATATGTTTCTTTTAATAGCAAGAATTAAAAAGAAGATCATTTTTATGCCAATTTATCTTAAAATTGAAACAGCAGGCACTAATCATACAAAATCTATCAAATCCATTAAATATTTTTAAGAAGATTTTGGTTTTTACACAAGTTTCTTAAAAAAACAGCCGTTTAAGAGTTTGAGTGGGTTAAGTGTGGGTTAATATGTCTATCGTTTTAAAAACATGGCCCTTCGGATTCCATTTGCGAATCACTCATTGGTTTATACTCTTTAAATAACCAAACGGGGCAATTATATCAGTTTTAAGAAATGTCTTTCAGTTTCTATAAATGGGAAAAAATCATTTAAAACTAAGTGATTTGCTCGTCAATCGATGTAGTTAAGACCGATTTATTTGTATCTTCAATTGCCACAAATTTAAGATTTAAAGAGAATTGCTCAACGCCTCCTACAACAGTACTGTTTATTAAACGAATCGAAATTGTTGTAAAGCATTCCCTTAGATGCCTATTATACGGCTTGTCTATTATCAAGACAAGACAAGTTTTCTTTAAGGTAACACATTTTAATCACACTGGACCAGTTTTGGACCATTTGACCACAAAGATCTGTCATGGTACAAAGCACAATTTGTTAGTTTGTTGGACACAATTATTTCACAAGAATTTGACCGAAATCGAAAAATAGTACTAAGCATTTCCTTAATTAACACTTTTTATAGATTCTGTCTTAGTTTAAACTACATGTAATAGGCCATTTAGATATAGTTCTATGTGATAGACATTCTAATGGTTCTTAGATTCATAATGGGAATTGATTTCGTTTTAAATCCAACCTATTGTTCTTCGATTACACTATGTACGTTTATCAGTAAATACTTATACTTTTGTTTCTAAGTTATTAAACCCAGTTAAAAATATTGTGATAGTCTGATATGGTTGTAAGCAAATAATGTGTTATTGAAATTACGAAAGCTCGGGCTGAGGGGAAAAATTCAGTTACATCAATAACTGTTATGAGCAAAAAAAATATTATTATGTACATGCATATCAGTTACTTATAAAAAAAAAACAATTATAACGATGTTGCTGAAACCAATAAATATGTTTAAATTAATATAAAAACAAAGAACTGTGTATCTTTAATCAATATCTGCTCGGAAGAAAGGATGATGGGGATATTGAACGAATTTCGTTGAATTGGGTGTCACTTCTTAAATATCTGGACAAAATAAGATAACAAAATATAAAAGATAGGAATTCCGGATTATAGCCCTCTATTAGAATAATTATTAACCCTGTTAAACTAGAAGCAATTTGATATTTTGTGAATGTTGGTATATTAGATACGTAGTCAATTACTTGGATTAGAATCTACGGCTGATGGTACTGTTTTATTAAGCCTACACACATTGACAAAAGACAGAGACCTCGTTTTGTACTGTAAAATATCATTTTCATAGAGGCTTTAACTGTTGAACCATAAAAAAAAACGATTAACAATCTCTTTTAGAAACCATCAATGACACAACCACGTGTATACACGCTGTTCCGACAAGTTACCTTGGTTGTCATACACATTTCTTTTTTCATTTTAAAGGCCATGGTTCATCATTTTGTGGGAGTTGATTTGGGTGATGTATATTTTATTTAAACAGTCTTCAGAACTACTAGAACTGCACAATATGCAATTAATCCCATCAAATATACTTCAAACTAGAAATGTCACTTTCTTTGTCTATATCAAGAAAACGAGTCGTCATTTTAATTTCAAACGCGGATAATTACGTTCACACATGGATTTGAAGGCTGAAATTTCGACGGTAAGCTGTGAATACTATTACTGATTACCTCACCTAAAATGTTCCCGCTTGTGAGACTAACGTAATTTTGGTCGAACGGATGATGAACCCATGTAACTTATTAAATTAAATTAAAGGAACGTCATCCGGAGATCCTTATTTTACCATCTTGCTGTTAACTTCAGACCAATTCCAGGATGTCAAAAGGCTTCCATTATAGACCTGGTGTTCAATATCAGTAACCTGTAACCTGAACACATTTCAGAACAACCAGCCGACGCTGGGTAAGACAGGAGAGACGGAACGATCTGATTTAATCTTGATTAAACTGTCTTACTTAGTTAATAGAACTAAATATGAAGTTGTTGTAGAAAACGTGTAAGCAAACTCTTGAAATCTAAATACATTGAGACGACCTTTTTTCTCTAGAAAACCACTAAAAACGCAGTTTAATTGCATATACGGTCGACTTGCCAATTTCCTTAAATTTCATCACAATTCAACAACGACAGTCAAAATGTTATTGTAAAATGAATAAGTAATTTGAACTCAATTTTTTACCCTAAAACTAAACCATCAGATCGTAACAAGATTTTTATATGTTAACAAAAGACCATGATTTTGTTGTGATATAGTTGTTATCGAATTTCTATCAAACCAAAACATCATGAAGTGTTATGAGGTTACAATTACTAATTACCTTATATACTTTATGTAATACTTCTAACTAAGTTTCGACAAGATATTCTGAACCTTTATTATTACTTTATGTAATATTTCAAACGTTTCGACTATATATTCTGAACCTTTATTATTACTTTATGTAATACTTCAAACTACGTTTCGACAAGATATTCTGAACCTTTATTATTACTTTATGTAATATTTCAAACGTTTCGACTATATATTCTGAACCTTTATTATTACTTTATGTAATACTTCAAACTACGTTTCGACAAGATATTCTGAACCTTTATTATTACTTTATGTAATATTTCAAACGTTTCGACAAGATATTCTGAACCTTTATTATTACTGTATGTAATACTTCAAACTACTTTTCGACAAGATATTCTGAACCTTTATTATTATTTTATGTAATACTTCAAACTACGTTTCGACAAAATATTCTGAACTACCGGATCTTATAGATTGTCACTGGAACGAAACTGAAGCGTTTGCTGATCGTAATCGGATCTATCGCCCCATCCTTAACAGCGCGTAGATCGGCCGCCTAGTGGAATGGGCGTATATGAGTATACAAGTATTAGCTTTTCTTTATGAAAAAAACCACAATGATTTGAAATGAATTGACTTGTTGGAAAGATCCTATTACCAATATTCTTTCAATAAACCGATTGTGACAGTAAGTTGATGATGTTGTAATAACATTAAATGTGCACCAAGCCAATAGATTTGATTAGAAACACACCATGGGAATGCAACGATTATGGTCGCACATGTCGCAGGTTGATAGCGACTGTTGTAGAATTTTGTCATTTTAAGGAACTTCTTTTAGCGTTTTCCTCGCGTTTGCTGGCGTCGTAAGATCGCAAATGGTTGCATTCCGGTGTGATGTGTCTATTTGCATAATCGAATTGAAAGTCAAATTTGAACGAAGATACGAAAAGAAATCGTTTTGAAGGGTACAAATGTCTATCCCTGAAGCTACGCCCTATTATAGTTAATACGTGGTCTCCTGTGCGTGGTTTGTATCCCATACTTTCGATACCATGGTGGTAAACTGCGAAATGTTAAAAATAAGAAGGATTATAAAAGTAGACCTAACTAAAAAAAATGGCTACTGTGCGATGGTTCTTCCTACCTACATGCTGGCTAATTTATTGGTTAAAGAGGCCACTACTGTAGCGTGAGTTAAATAGCTATCTATATGACAAGTTAAAATAACAAGGTTATACATACCAGTGGAGTGTAAAGTTAGTATTGAGGGTAGAAGGTTGGCTACAACAATATTATAGTGTTCAGTTAGGTTCATCATATGTTAATAATTATAGACTAGGAACTTATTTACGTTTTGTTTAGCTCATCACGTGACAAACTCCATTTATTTTATGCGATCAAATGAAGGACTTGCTTAATCTATTTGTTTAATTTTGTTTATCGGTCGGGTTTGTTTAAATTTTATTGTGTAAAATAATGAAATCAAATAGAGGTTTTGCGCCATTTTTCCTCTGCTCAAGATTAGTATATGAGTATAGCAGTGTCATATATAAGTTGCTAATTACATTTGTCCCACAAGATAAGATGCTTGTACATTGCAAATACGATTTTTATACGTCATTGCTCCAAAATATGCGTCAGAACATCAATTTAATTTCATAATTTGAGGGAGATCCCAGGAGACCTTTTTTGGTGGCTTACGTCCTTGGCGAGGCCCCATCGAGAATCTCGAAAGTTTTATCAGCCTGTCCCCTATTTGTACCGCCTATTCCAGGGCGACAGCGATATTACCTACTCCACCCGTCGAGGAATCCTGAGCATACAATCTGTAGTACACGGGACTGACTAGAATAATATTATCATACAATTCATATTTATAGACCTAAACTCAACTAATTTTAATATGTTATACGCGTCATTTCCTTTGATAATTATCCTATAATATTGACAAAATTGGGCTGAATAGAGTCATTATAATTTGAAAAAATATCAAATTTAAAATAGCAAGTATGATATCCGTTTTGTTATTCGATATACCTATATACCACAGTCACGGGTGATATCATATGAAGAATCATTTTAAAATAATTATGCCTATAAGGTGTGTCCCATTATTACACTGAAAATAAGAAGATACGAAAAAGTTTAGACTTCGATGACACAAACATAATGAATATTAAGGGTAATATGTATCTTCCACGGGATGAAAAATAAGTCGCTTCAAGCTACTGAAAACTTAGACCGAAACAGCCATCAGAGGCTGGAATAGAGGCAGACGTTTCGGACTACTGACAGCTTAGACGTCTATTCAAAAACCAAAATATGATGAAATACTGTGTTCTTGTAATGCCTAAGCGAAAGTTTTATCGAGAATGAAGACGCTGTGATTAGAAATGAACAACGACACGACACTGTATCATTTGTAGATAAAGTGTAATTTTAAATTGTGTTGCACGGTAGATAACTCTAAAAATGAAGTCTTTTTAAGGACTCACTTGGACTCACTCCACTAATTCATTTGCCATCTCTTCCCATGTTAAACCACGAAATTCAACCTTCTATAACTTTTTCCAGAAATCTCGTTGAAAGTTTTCCAATATGTCGAATGAAAGCCTGACCAATTCTCACCATGCCTCCTAAAAAATTCATTATATGATGACCATGAAAATTTTGAGCTACTAAAATTGAAAGTAGACTACTACCGGTTATACTCATCCGTTAGAGTTCGGAGGTAGAGAGAAAGAAAAATTCTAAAGATAGCCTGGACTACATTGCATAAAATGTTTTAGTCAAGTGGACTCGCTCCACTAAAACATTTTATGCAAATGAATGTAGTCCAGGATATTTTTAGAAATCTTCTTTCTCTCTCCCTTTTGGGGTTTTTGCATGCCTATTTTTGGGTAAAATTTGGTCTAGATTTGGAATTTGATGTCTGAAATTGCATTATCTTTCAGATTTGGTGAGATGATGAGAGACCTAAAGGCGGAAAGCTAATTCTAAAAAAATAGTCGTTTTGTGAACTGCCAAAATCTAACGGATGAGTATAACCGGTAGTAGTCTACTTTCAAATTTAGTAGCTCAAAATTTTAATGGTCATCATATATTGATTATTTATGAGACATTAAGGATTGGTCAGGCTTTCATTCGACATATTGAAAAGCATTCAACGAGTTTTCTGGAAAAAGTTGTAGAAGGTTGAATTTCGTGTTTTAACATGGGAAGGGGGGTGAGTCCTGATAAATTGGGAGTGGACTGGACTAGTACAGGCCATTCTACTGATAGTTTTCGTTGTCATAGCCTTACCTGGCATAAATTTCGCCAAATCGTCAAGTTCAAGCATTAGCAAAAATGCTGATTGGATATAAATGTGGATAGGTTTTATGTAAAAAAAGTACATAATGGCGTCTTTTTAGGTGTTGCTAAAAGGCTTTCATAGAATCAGAATCATGGTTTTTTTTGTTAAACACATGGTTAAAAACAGTTGTAATATTTATATAAATGATATGGTATGGAAAACATACTCGATTCTATATCACATGATTGGGGACATCATCCTTTACTGGGTCGTCCTTAGAATGTATGACTGTGTGTTTGAAGTGCACTTACATTTCATATCTTTGAACAAGGAAAACCCTTTCCTGACGCAAGTTTGCAATTTTAGAAATAGTTAATCCTAGGTTTAACCCCAACCTTAACCCCAGCACTAACCCCAGGTCTAGGTTGTTTTCGAACCTGCTCGATAGACCTTTCGTCTGAACTGAGCTGGATATGCGTATACCTAGGTCCTGATCAGCATAAAATGTTAACTTCTAAAGGGATTGTAAAGAGGTTTTCTAGCCTTTATATGTGTATCGGTGATACTTTTGACTTCAAAAATTGCAACATAACAACTTCCAATAGGCGTCTACCTTCAGTGCAAATGTCAACTTTCCAGCTGTGATCCATTGAAAATGCCCCTAAACTAAAATGTCCATAACTCGGCCAATTTTGACCCGAGGGGTACAATTTTTGTTTGTAATGAAAGCTTATAATTTCCTCCATCTATTTCAGTAGAAAACAGAAATTCGACATTTTTTCAAACTTTGGAGAAAATCGACTTTGAAGTTGTACCCTTGATTTCAAGAGGAAAATCGCTTATATTTTGGTTTGGGAAAAAAGTCTGAGACTAAAAGTGCTGTAACTGGCAGAGTTTTCATGATAGGAAGCTGAAATTTGGAACACAACAACTTCAGATGGGTGTGTACCTTCAGTGCAAATTTCAACGTTACATTTCTGATAGTTATCGAACGGCAACCTTTTAAAGTTTTGGTCTTCACCCCAACCAGCGCAACTAGACTCTATAGCGGACTGCCGCCCCCCCCCCCCCCCCTCACTAAAATGGCTTTATATTTGTTTCCTATTGAAGAGAAGGACAATGATTTTTTGAAAGTGTCCACACTAGATTCTATGGTTGAATCGTGTCTTATTCAAAAACATAGACCTAAGGCAGCTTTTAGTGGCAAGAAAGCTTTGTATCAACAAAACTGTTGAAAAGATAGCCTTCAAGGGACAACAATCTGCTCTTATGGGCATTAAGATACTCTTGTATATACAGCAAGCTTTAGCTAAAATGAAGGAAGGGATTTTAGACCCACATGAAGATACTTCTAGATCAGATTCAGAACATTTTTGCTATGTCCACCAAAGCACTGGATCAAATGGGGAGAGCGGGTACTTTTCACCACTTAATTAGACGGTCTGTGTCTTTGACTGA